AAAAAAAAAAAAGAAGCAATAATTACTCAATCTTAGCTTCTGGCCCTCCCACCTCCACCCTTCCATTTCCCCCCAGAGAGAAGCGTTGTGCGTCAGTGTGGGGTTGGAAAAGAGGAGAAGTAAAGCCTTTTGACTTTCAGGAAGGAAACACATCTGGGGAATAAGGAAAGAGAGAACGGGTGAAAAGAGGAATTAGATTGGAGGAAGAGGAGCTGGCCAAAAATAGTCAGCCTCCGCTCTAGCCTTGCCAGAGCCCCTTCACCACACCTCCTGCCGCCCAAGCATTAGTCAGCCCTGACCCATCCCTCGGTGGGTGACTAAGTCCTCCACCGAGACCCCATGTCATGAACCTCACTTCCTCCCAGGTGTCTTCATCTAGTCTGGGGTTACACAACTTGAAATCCCCGAGTTCTCCTGAAGTGAAGATATACAAGAACTGCCCTTTTACGCTGGAGGGAGTGTGGGACTGGAGCTACAGATCACTGCTGGGTTTAAGAGGCCGAGACAGAAAACATTTCAGTGGAATGATAGTAAATGTAAAATCCAAGTTTAATCAGCCCAGAGATAACCAGTATCAGCATGAGTGAAGTATAATTTATTATAGTGCAACAGCCAGTCGGAGGAATGAGCAAACATTCCTCCTACGAGAAAACCATGTAGAAAAACAGGAACTCCAGCCACATGAATATGGTGAAGCCTGCTGTACAGCAATGTTGTAACCGGACTGGTTTCTGATGGGAAGGACCGGAATCATAGTAAATAATTTATCTTATGCAGCACAGTGGACTTACACAGTCACTGGCGGGGCTTGCCAGAGCAAACAGGAAGCAGTGGGCAGTGTTTCTTTCTAATTGGTGGCAATAATTTGAATTGTGCCTTCGACAGGGAACGCAGGGAGGTGTCATGTGGACAGGGAGATATGCAGATTACCAAGAAAAGGGAGTACGTGTGCGACAGCATGTTGACGGTACGAGACAGGCTTCTGACAGGAAGCTGTTAAATCACAAACCAGTGCGAATGGGTCGGTTTAACCGCATGTGGAGGCCTACTGATAACACCTCACACTGTGTAGGGGTCCTTATTGGAAAAACAGTCAAACCGTGGAACATACACATTCAAAAAAGTTGTGATGTATTAAATAGAATAAAAGAAAATACTAATTTTATCCCGGAAAGCCAATGATTCATTTATTATTCCCTCGGTTTTATAAAATCTGCTCAGAGAACATGTCTGTACAAGAAACACCTGTGACACAGTGTGTAGTTTGAACTGCCAGTTGTTCATCAGCCTGTTATCTATAAAGCTATTTGTCAACTAGAGCCATCCAGTGGTGCATTAGGGAACTCTGTGTATATATATGCAGCAAAACAATGGGGCCTTCAAAAGAGACGTGAGCCACAGTTCATCACTGAGATTCTTCTTCTTTAAACAAACATTGCAGAGCATCATGGAATTCTTCTTCCTCCAACAAACCTGGTGAAAATTGCTTGTACCAGATTGTCCTGGTGTAAAATTATCCAAATACACAAACAAACTGGTAAACAAAGCGATTTATCAAAAGGTCCATCGCAGTCTTCTCCTGGGATGTTTGGATTTTTGTGCGTTACATGTGAGCAAACACTTTGAAATCCAAACATTCTACTCGACAGCTGGCGTCCGCGGTCATGTCCACAGGAGCATCTCTGTGTGATTCACTGGGAAAAGAGGTGGACCTCAGGGCGAGGAAACACGGACATGTTTCCACTCCTCCTCGATCTGGAGTCCACACGGTTCTCGACAGTAAGATAAAAAAGGTCGTGTCAACATTCGGATATTTTGGATTGATCACTTTGCTGTGATCATTATAAATATTATGAGTTGTTAT